GTGGCTTAGAAAAGAAGGAAGCCAGGGATTATAATTTCTTACAACTCCAGGCAGAGTCCAGCTCAGGCTTGGGGTGGGGGTGAGGGTGGAATGGTCTTCAGAAAGCAGGGTCTTCTCTCAAGGAGCCCCGGGAGGCGAGGAGGCAAACGCTTCCTTCCGTCTGTGGGATCGGTATCAGCTCCCTCCAGCCTCCTCCCTCCTTCCCCAGCAATTCCGCTACATGGTCCAGTTTTTACAATTACGGGGACCTCCCAGCCCTTGGGGCCTACGAGTTAAGTGCCTGGTTGCTTTAACTCAGCACAATGTCTGAAAAGATGGGCTCCCCGGGTACAGAGAACTCTCCAGGTCTATTGAACCACATACAACAGCCCTGGCTGGCGTGGCTCAGTTGGTTGCGTGTCGTCCCATGCACCAAAAGGTTGCCAGTTTGATTCTGGTCAGAGCACATGCACCGGTTTCAGGCTTGATCCTCAGAAGGGGGCATGCAGGAGGCAGCCACTCAGTGTTTCTCTCTCTTCCTCTTCCCTTCCCTCTCAAAAAAAAAAAATTTTTTAAAAATTAATGCATTAAAAGCACATGCAACAGTCAGTGTCACTCTTAGACTTCACATGGAGCTGCATCTTTACTCAGTGTTAAGGCCTTAACACAGAGGAGAGTCTGGGAGCCAAGGAAAGAGTCTAGTTATACATGCTGTGCCTGGGGCGACCCCTGCATGTTCTACATATCCAGCTGATACGTTTGTCTATTTGATCGAACCCCGGTTCTCCTTACTTGACTGTTTTATAGTCTTGAGTGTTTCTGGCATCCATCCCCTGATGTCACAACCTGTACTTTTGTTGCTGGTCCCAATTCCCAGTTAAGGATATGTGTGACTCCTCCTGGCTCCATTGGGAAAGCCCCTCGCCTTATCCTGCACGCCTACACATTCTCTGGCCACTTTCATTTGAGAAAAATGAAGGAGAAGGAGGGAGGGCCTGCCCGTGTGGCCTTTGTCCTCCGTGCATGGTTCCCTGTCGGTAGGAGGGACGTGACAGCCAGCAGGCACCTTCCACAGGCATGTCCACCCTGGGAGGCACTTTTTAGGTGGTTCCTCGGCAACCAGGCCCACTAATCCTCCCCCTCCCTCCACTTACCAACAACTAGAAAGGGCACAGAATTGGCTTAGGGGAGCCACCAGGACTAACACATTGTTATGAACATGCACAGGCTCCTTACGCTCCAGAGCTCATTTCTTTTCTTTCTTTCTTGTTTTTTGTTGGTGGTGATGTTTTCTTGTTTGGTGGGGTTTTTGTTGTTGTTATTGTGTGTTTTTTAAGAGGAAGGGAGAGGGAGAGAGAGAAGCATCAATGATGAAGAGAGAATCATAGATCTGCTGCCTCCTGCACACCCCCTACTGGGGATTGTGCCTGAAACCAGGGCATGCGGCCCAAACCAGGCATCAAACCATGATCTAGTTCATAATTCGATGCTCAACCACCAAGCCACGCCAACTGGTCTAGAACTCATTTTTGAAAGGGACTACACTTCTTTTCCAGAACCTTTTGAAAGCTGAAAAAAATAGGAATGTTTAAGGCCAGAAGGACCTTCAGTATCTATAAGTCACTGTCCTGTTGTACAGAGGAGGCCCGCATGGTGACACCCAGCGCTCGCATAGCTAGTTATGTAGAAGTGGGGCCACGCTCTGGGGTTCCTGGTCCCAGTCCTGGCTCTTTCCACTGTACCGGGAGCCACCTCCCATTGGAACTAGCAAACGTGCCAAGGAGTCTCTTTGAGGACCACTCCACGTTGCTGTATATGTCCCCTGGCCCGGGACAGTGATGACCAACAACAGGTACTCAGAACATGTACTGATGCCTGACCTAAGTTTCCATAACATAAATTGATGGTCAAAATCCTAATATGCAACTGATTGCTTCCTCCACGAGAGGACATCCTATATAAGACTAATATGCAGCTGAAACCGGTTTGACTCAGTGGATAGAGCGTCGGCCTGCGGACTGAAAGGTCCCAGGTTGATTCTTGTCAAGGGCATGAACCTTGGTTGCGGGCACATCCCCAACAGGAGGCAGCTGGTCGATGCTTCTCTCTCATCGACATTTCTAGCTTTCTATTCCTCTCCCTTCCTCTCTGTAAAAAATATCAATTAAAAAAAAATTTTTTTTTAAAGATTAATATACAGCCGAAACTGGTTTGGCTCAGTGGATAGAGCATTGGTCTGAGGACTGAAAGGTCCTGGGTTCGATTCCTGTCAAGGGCATGTACATTGGTTGCGGGCACATCTCCAGTAGGGGGTGTGCAAGAGGCAGCTGATTGATGATTCTCTCTCATCGATGTTTCTAACTCTCCACCCTCTCCCTTCCTCTCTGTAAAAAAATCAATGAAATATATTTAAAAAAAAAAAAACTATGATCTTAAAAAAAAAAAAGATTAATATACAAATCAATGGAACAGCAGAACCACCTGTCGCTATGACACACACTGACCATCAGGGGGCAGACGCTCAATGAAGAAGCTGCCTGTTGGTGGTCAGTGTGTTCCTACAGGAGGAGCGCTGCTCAACCAGAAGCCAGGCTCACGGCTGGTGAGTGCAGTGGTGGCGGGAGCTCTCCTGCCTTCACAGCAACGCTAAGGGTCTCCCGACTGATGGTTTAGGGGAGCAGGCCTAAGCCATCAGTCGGACATCCCTCAAGGGCTCCCGGACTGCAAGAGGGTGCAGGCCAGGCTGAGGGACCCCCACACACACACCCAAGTACACGAATCTTGTGCACTGGGCCTCTGGTCTATCTATAAGTCTATTTCTGAGAGTTAGCAGCCTTGAACAGCTGAAGCACGGATTATGTAGCTCTAAAAATGGTGATGTTATTTTATTGCTGCGTCTTACTGTGAAAGGGATAGTATTCTAAGACTGACTGCTCTTCTTAGAATGAATACCTACCTACATCTTTTGGTGGCAAAATGACACATCGAGGGGGAATCTAGTAAATACACAGATGCATTTGAAATTAATGTATGTGAGGTAGGTGATAATATGCCTCAAACTCGCATCCTTTAACTTGGGGATAGGAGGGTGTTCGGAATGGGGTTTGTTACTAATTCCATAGTTTCATATAAAACTCCTCAGTCATAACAGAGCAATCAGATACTTTAGAAAACTGAACACTTGTGTTCATTCTTCCATCCCGATTAAATAAGTCCTTATCTTTCACACTAGCCATGCATTCATTTAGAGCTTTCTTCCATCATACTGTATGCTTAAGCCACTTTCTTGGGCCTTTTCGTTGCCACCTTGGCTGTTAGTAAGCTGGCCTAACCAAAATTTGAAACGGCTGCCTCCACAGGTAGAACTAATTTCAGCTTCGCTTTGACTTTCGCACTGTCCATCCCCAAACGAAATGGCCACAGAGAATGGTGCTGCCTTTGGGGCAGAGCGCTTTGATTCATTGAAACATTTCCTACAGTTTTTCTGGCTTCTTTCCTTTGGTCCTGCTTGCCTGCCCTTTATAATTTGCTCTTATTTATTCTGAATTATACTCTATTGTTTGGTCATAGTACTCCCTTGACCAACAATAACTAACTCAGAGAATTGTAAGCTCTGTTACAATTCTCTGAGTTACTTTTAGCCATTTAGAGACTCTTTCAAAAGCATAGAATTGTTTTATCTTCACCCAGAAATAACTCCCTCAAATTCACATGTCTCTGGGGGCATGGTATTGAAGTCACCTCTTCCTGCTGATTCTGAAGTTTCTCCCCCAAATTCCAAGGAGCAGAAGCTCCGGCTGCATTCTCGCTTTTAATTTGCGGTGTTTGGTTACTACGCATTAACATATTCGATAAAGTGGCCTCTTCTGGCATGTTTCGGTTTTTAAGCATTTTGGAAATCAGCCCTGAACTGCAGGTCAAGGCTATGAATAAAGTACTATGTATTAAAACAGGCAGAAGCAAATCAGAGAAAAGAGGAATGTGTTAGTTTTGTTATTGCTGCTATAAAAAAAAAAAAATCACCCTCAAGTTTAGTGGCTTAAAACAAGACAGACTGACTCACAGTCTGGAGGTCAGAAGTCCTTATTCTGGGCTAAAATGGCGCCAGCAGCCTCAGCTGGCTTGTCTTACTGGATAGAGCAGTGGTCGGCAAACTCATTAGTCAACAGAGCGGCAAACCTCTGCTTGCGAGCCGCATGTGGCTCGCGAGCTGCAGTTTGCCGACCACTGGGATAGAGCATTGGCCTGTGGACTGAAGGGTCCCAGGTTCAATTCCGGTCAAGGGCACATGCCCGGGTTGCCAGCTCAATCCCCAGTAGGGGGCCCACAGGAGGCAGCTGGTCAATGATTCTTTCTCATCACTGACGTTTCTATCTCTTTCTCTCCCTCTCCCTTCCTCTCTGAAATCAATTTAAAAAAAAAACACTTTTTAAAACATTAAAATAAAATGGCGTCAGCAGGTCTGGTCCTTTCTGGAGGCTCTGAGGGGAGAATTGGTTTCATTCCTTCCTATCCCTCCTCACTCACCTCCTGCCTCCCTCTTGGAAGGACCTTTGCAATTACATTAGAGCTGCCCAGACAATCCAGGATAAGCTCCCAGCTCAGGACCCTGAACTTAGTCACATCTGCAGGGACCCTTCTGCCAGATAAGGCTGCACATGGCAAATGGTTCTGGGTGGTGAAGTGGACATCGTTGGAAACCATTATTCGGTGACTCACCAGCCATGGCCTCTCTCCAGTGACAGTCTGGCCTCTCGCATTGAGGTCGGGCTGGCTTGATGGGGTGAGGAGGGGTTTGTGGGTGGGCCTGCTGATGGCCTGCCAAGACCCCACGCCCCGCTCCCTGCCCTCAGCACCCTGGGGTGGCCGCCGGTCCCAGCCCCCTCCCTGGACCGTCAGGCCCGTCACTGTTCCCAGATGTTCTCCAGCTGCCCCTCCTCACCCTGCTGTCTTTCCTTCCAGCATTGTGCCAGCGCCAGGAAGCCACCGTATCCGCAAGCTGAGAGGGAAACTGAGGCAAGATGTCGGGCCGGAGCGGGAAGAAGAAGATGTCCAAGCTGTCCCGGTCCGCCAGGGCCGGGGTCATCTTCCCGGTGGGGCGGCTGATGCGCTACCTGAAGAAAGGGACCTTCAAGTACCGGATCAGCGTGGGCGCGCCCGTGTACATGGCGGCCGTCATCGAGTACCTGGCAGGTAACGTGCCCGGCCGGTGCCCCGCCCGGACCGCACTCCGCGGCCCCGCTCACAGGCCGGCAGGCTGCTGTCCCAGGCCGCTGAGGGCGGCAGCTGGGCTGCGGCGTGCCTGCTGGCTCATCAGCGCCTGCCGGCTTCGGGGGAGGGAAAGGGGCATCAGGCGGACAGGGGAGCAGCACTGGAGGAAGAGAGCCCACAAGGAAGGGGCTTTTCCAGCCCAGCCCTGACAAAGGTGTGGGTGGCTCAGTGGATAGAGCGTCGGCCTGCGGACTCAAGGGTCCCAGGTTCGATTCCAGTCAAGGGCAGGTACTTTGGTTGCGGGCACATCCCCAGTAGGGGGTGTGCAAGAGGCAGCTGATTGATGTTTCTCTCTCATCGATGTTTCTGGCTCTTTATCCTTCTCCCTCTCTGAAAAAAAAAAAAAAAAATATATATATATATATATATATATATAAAATTTTATATATATATATATATATATATATATATATATATATATATTTTAAAGAAAGAAAAGAAAAAGGTGTGTCTTGTGTAGGTGAATGCAATGTGTGAGAATCTAGGTTCTCAAAGAAGAGAAGCTACAGGAGGACAGTCCCGGGAGATGGGGGTTGCTATTTGTTTCATAAAAGGGGGTCTTCACTGTACATACAGTCCCCATTGCACATCGGTTCTCCGGGGTATGGGCTGGGACTCAGTGTCCACAAAGAATGCTGACCAGAGCATCAGAGGCGTCTTCAGTGGGTCCCACAAGGCCAGCGTTCTAGTCCTGCCCCTTACAGAGGTGGCCCTCTGTCCACGGAGGGGTCTGGAGGAAATCGTGTACCATATCGGTGGTTAAATTACTTTTTTACCAAGAGATGAGATTTTCACTGTATGGGTTCTTTATGTATTTGGGAACTTTTTACTTTGCTTTTGTTCTTGTACTCTTGTGTCGTAAACAGAAAAAATACTTCACAATTTCAAGGATGCTTTAAAATATTTATATAGCCAGGCCAGTATGGCTCAGTGGGTTAACCGGGAGGTCCGGTCAGGGCACATGCTCGGGCTGCAGACTTGATCCCCAGTAGAGGACGTGCAGGAGGCAACTGATCAATAATTCTCTCTCGATTGAAACTTCGTGGTCCCTGCGCAGAAGTCGGTTTTCGGCTCTCAAAAGAAATTTCTATTGTTGTACTGTTGATATTTGGCTCTGTTGACTAATGAGTCTGCCGACCACTGCTCTAGGAAGTGGGAGAGGGGAGGGAGGACTCTGAAAGTGGATTGGATCCAGTGAGATAGAGCAGTGCTGTTCAAGGTGGGATCACCTGGGGATCTTGTTGACAAGGGCCGGGTGGCACCTGAGACCCCGCCTTCCTCACGGGTTCCCAGGGGATGCCCACGCTGCTGGCACAGGGACGCTCACTCGGAGGAGTAAGGTGGAAGCCAGTCTCTCAGCAGCAGGCCTACAGGCTCGAGTGGATGCTTGTTCAGAATGCAAGTTCCTGGCTGCACCCCTTCCGGTGGCCTGATTCCCTGGGTCTGGTGTCAGACCCAGAAACCTGATGGGAAACCCTGCTGGGTCTGGGGTGCCGGCTTCGGGAAAGATGAATGAAACTTGAAAACAACCTGTTAAACTCGTGTCACCCACTGAGACGGGAGACCATGTGGGTGACCCAGAGATCCCACAGCCTGCCTCCCCGCAGGAGCTGGGCTTCCCCGAGACCCTCCGGTCCCACGCTGTGCTCCTTCTGCTGCCCCACCCTGACCGTTAGTATGTGTGTAATCACAGTCATTAAATACCTTCTACGTCTCCACCTGGCAAAGTCACACTCCGTGCTAATAAAACACAATTTGGCCTTTTGAGTCACGGGCATCTCTGTGCATCTTTGGTTCAGATAAAAGTTTACATTTCCATCAAGATCGGTTTGGCTCAGTGGATAGAGCATTGGCTTGGGGACTGAGGGGTCCCGGGTTCGATTCCGGTCAAGGGCATGTACCTTGGTTGCGGGCATATTCCCAGTGGGGGGTGTGCAAGAGGCAGCTGATCGATGACTCTCTCTCATCGATGTTTCTAACTCTCTATCTCTCTCCCTTCCTCTCTGTACAAAAATCAATAAAATATATATTTTTTAAAAAGTTTACATTTCCCCATTTATTTATTCGACAAATATCTGTTAAGCATCTGCACGTCAGTACGCACACTAAGTCCTCAGGCTGCTCTCTGGTCGTAGGATTGGACCGCGGCTGGGATTTCTCACGGGTCTTGGGTTAGAGCCACCGGCCTCCACAGCCATCACACTGTGACCCTGAGCCAGCAGGTCTTTAAGGACCTACAGCACCTCCCTGAGCAGAGGGTCCTTCAGTTTCTCGTGGAGTTCTCTCTCGCATACAGCTATTGAGCACCTGCTGTGGGCCAGGTGTGGTAGATGCTGAGGATAGACCAGGACAGACAGGGATCCCTGCCTCCAGCAGAATGCATTCCCGAGGCAGAAGCAAGCAAGCAAGCAAGCGGAGGGTGTGTTGCGTCAGGCGTGTGAAGTGCTGGGGGACAAATAAAGTGGATTCAACCGACAGGGGGTTCCAGGAAAGGGAGGGGGAGGGGAGATGTAAAGTAGAGCAAGGCCCGTGTGAAGGAAACCGGGAGTGGGCCTGCAGGTGTCTGGGGGTAGGTGCCCTAGCCTGAGGGAAGACAGGTGCTGGGAGCGTTGGGGAACAGCAGTGGGGCGTGGACTGTAAGTGAGGCCCAAGGAGGAAGGGGCTACGGTTGGGGGGGCGGTGGGTGGAGCGGGGATTGGAGCTAGCAATAGTGGCCCTGCAGGGTTTGGAGCGGAGGCAGAAGTGATCTGATCCTGGGGGAGGGGCACAGGGTGGAAGCAGGAGAAGCAGCTGGAAGGCGACAGCAGAGATCCAGAGAGAGGGCGGTGAAGGCACCGAGGAAGAGTAGAGCACTGATATATGTTGAAGGCATCGCCATTAATATCCGGCCCCCTCTCTCCACCAGTCCCGGCATCCAGCATCTTCCTCAGGCAAATGGAGAAGGTGAGCCTGGCTGGTGGTGCGCAGTGGTTGAGCACAGACCTGTGCACCAGGAGGTCAGGGTTCGATTCCCAGTCAGGGCACATGCCCGGGTTGCAGGCTCTCTCCCCAGTGGAGCACATGCAGGAGGCAGCCGATCAATGATGTTTCCTCTTTCGTCAGTGTTTCGATCCCTCTCTTTTCCTGATGTCTTGGTCTCACCCCCAGAAATTCTGGGGTATGTTCTGGGCATCAGGGATTTGCAAAGCTCCCCCAAATGATTCTGATGGGCAACAGAGTTGGGAATTGGTAGGAGTTACCAGGTTCAGACGGGAGGGGTTGAGCTGGGGGAGATTGCCAGGTTGGGAGGAACAAGGGTGAAGTTTAGAGGAAGTATTGTAGCGATTCCAGACACTAGAGGAAGTCCTGTGTTCCAGGAGCAAGCTGAGAATGGCACGGCCGGCGGTTGGGGGTGGAATGAGATGGGGGAGGTGGGTGGTGCAGGCCACGGAGGACCACGATGAACTATTGAGAATGCATAATTTACCTTTTTTATGTTAAGAGAATGTTTTATATTTCCAACTGAGAGGACAAATGAGTCTTAAAGCAGGGTTGAATTTCAGGGCACCTCCTGAAATCATTGTGTCACGTAGAAACCCATCATTTACCCATCATTTCCGGATAACTGGGTCTATCCATTTAATGCCGAGCATTTTTATCTAAGGGTTTTTACTCACTGCATCTTAGCTCTGAAAAGCTCACTTTGGCAGCCGGAGCCACACGCGTGGCTGTGCAGGTTGTACGCTGTGCAAAGACATACATTTAAGGGAGTGCCTTTCACATCAGGGACCTCAAATAACTATGTTTATCATGAGCATTTCCAGCAGGTGGCAGTGAAGGGTCTTGTTCAGAGGAAATCAGGGCAGCCCGGCGTCTTAAGGAAGAGGCATCTTGTTCTAATTTGCACAAAGGCACCTTTGGCCTAGCGGCGGCCTTGTTGGCATGGATCTAGAGGAGGACAAAACGGGGACAGGGAAACTGTTTCGACAGTCACTACTGTTTGCTGGGCCGGAAGAGAAGAGAGCTTTAACTCGGATAATGGCAACAGGCGTGGAGAGAGGGGCAAAGGCGTGAGCTTGATGAAGCGGGTGGGGGACGGGAGCGAAGAGGAGGAGAGGACGACTAAGGTCTGTGTGTGGACGGAGCTGTCAGTCCCAAGGGCAATGCGGGGAGCAGGTTTGGGAAGGGGGTGATAGAATGAGGGAGTTTGATTTGCCTGTGGAACACCCAGGTGAGGAGGCCCAGGTGACATCTCAGCAGAGCTAGAGATACAGATCTGACCACACGGGAAGGGAGGTGGAAGCTGGAGCCGCAAGGGGATGGGGTTCCCTCAAAAGACTCAGGGCCTGAGCAGAGCAAAGGGCCCAGACAGAGCCCAGAGGCGCCGTCATATAGTGGGCAGGTGTGCAAGCAAAATGGAGCTGGAGAAGGAGATGGTCTTGAAGGAGTGGCCACTTGGTGCCCTCTGTTCCAACCTTCCATTTAATGTGCTATTTTCTATCTGCTGGGGCCGGGACATCCCGTGTTGATTCAGTAATGTACAAAATGAGAGGACACAAGCCCTCCCAAAATAATATGCAACATCCCTTTGGGATACAGAATTTTTTATTTTTTACTACCAGATACTGAGGTGCATGCCAGATGGTTACTATTGCTGGAGATCAGACTTCCAAGAAGTTAGAGGTTCGCTATGGAAGTCTATAAACCTCCAGGGAAGTCTCCACCGCTTAACGGAATAGTGATCTCCCCACAGAATGTCCAGTGAAACACGTGTGTGCCACACAAGCCCAGTTTTCCTACCGATGGCCCAGAGATGGAAACTTGTGTTCCCAAGATCAATAAAGTCACTCAACAGTGTAGCAACTATCACGTGGAAACGATGTGAGAATCAATTTGCAGGCATTTTCATTATGGAAATGCCCTGTAAATATTTAATGATAATGCTCCTTTTATAATCCACATGAATGCATCTGTCGAGACAGCATTTGAAAATATTAATAATGATTAATGTCATTTCACACATTTAAATGGTGGCATCTCCGTCGCAAGGAAGGTTCCGATAAAACATTCAACGGAGAAAAGAACTCATCGGTCTCGATTTTCTGGTGTGCGTCCTTAAGTTTTCCTCTTTAACATTAAAAAGAGATAGCTCGCCGAAACCGGTTTGGCTCAATGGATAGAGCATCGGCTTGGGGACTGAAAGGTCCCGGGTTCGATTCCGGTCAAGGGCATGTACCTTGGTTGCGGGCACATCCCCAGAGGGGGGTGTGCAAGAGGCAGCTGATCGATGACTCTCTCTCCCATCGATGTTTCTAACTCTCTATTTCTCTCCCTTCCTCTCTGTACAAAAATCAATAAAATATATTATAAAAGAGAGAGAGAGAGAGAGAGAGAGAGAGTGAGTGAGAGAGAAAGTTCTCCCTTTGCTTTCTCACTAGAGCACAGGATCAGGTTTCCTCTCCAGGGCGGGCTTTGGAAGGGCTAGTCCGGGAGCTGAGTCTCATGTGAGCCTCGACTTGTACCTGGCTTCGTCCCTGCGGCCACTCTCTCCTGAGCCGCATTTAATTCTGGGAGATTCCCCATCGGTGAGCCTCACGTCTGTGCATCTGTCTGTCCGGCTGAACAAGACCTGACCTGCAGGAGCTTCTTCAGGCTCTGAGCATGGAGGGTTTCCCATTAGCACTGCTTCCCCTGTTGACGACTAAGTTCATGCACTCGGGAGGATGCTTAACTCCTTCCTCTGGATGCAGGTGACACAGGCGGGAGAGTGATGGGCCAAGATGCTCAATTATGATAAATCTGATCCCTCAGAAGCTTAAAATGGGGAGGCTCCTTGGCCCCTACACTACCACCTAGAAAGGAGGATGAGTGGATGCACCCTCTTCCTAGACATGGGGCCCCCGAGATGAGCAAAGGGCAGGAAACTCCGTCTTACTGCACAGGGGGAAGCTGCACGTTTTAACCTAGAGTCATACTGCAGGTCTGTTTTTTTTTTTTTTTAATGTTTTTACTGATTTCAGAGAGAGGAAGGGGAAGGGAGAGGGGGTAAGGGAGAGAGACATCAATGATGAGAATCATTGATTGGCTGCCTCCTGCACGCATCTACTGGAGATCAAGTCTGCAACCTGGACACGTGTCCTGATGGGGAATCAAATTGTGGCTTCCTGGTTCACCTGGTTCATGAGTCAACCCTCAACCACTGAGCCACACCGGCTGGGCCAGCAAGCCTGTTAGTGAAAGCTTTATGACTGCATTTTTTTTTTTTTTGGATGGGTACACTTTTTTAAATAAAGAAAGGGCTGGGCAGCAGCCTGAATGTGGCAAATCAGATTATCCAATATGGCATTCATTTCAAATACTCTGTCCCATCCATTGTCTCTACAAATATGCTTATACTTCTCAAACTACAGTGCCTCCTCAATCTTTGATTCAGAAAACATGTCTACTGTATAAATGAACAGTTGGTAAACACAATATTCATTGCTTAATAACCTGGAAGGGATGCGATGAGATGAATTTGCAGTGATTTAGCACTTTTCATTATGGAAATGCCATATAAATATTTAACTCCTAATGATTATTTTATTGTAATTTTTGTTAATTACATTTGCTTAATTAATATGGCATACTTATGCCAAGTTTTTATTTTATTGCCATATATTTTATAAGTGATGGCAATTTCATGTGCTATTTTATTTGAAATTAGGTTGATTAGAAAGACATACAGAATCCCCTGTTAATTTTAGGATTTAATATTTATGCCATTATACCAGCACATCCCCAACACACACACACACATACACACACACACACACACACACACACGCACGCACACGCGGGCCTGTGAAAACACCTCACAAACAAATGTATGCACACATGCACATACGTACACTTCCCTCCGCCCCCCCCCCCCACGTATTAATGAAACCATTTAATGGCACATTGTTGTTAGCTTTCTAAGGGAAGGAATTTTTCTTTATAGGCTCATTCAGACTTTTAAAAGCAGACAAGTTTCATTTAAGAGTCTCATGCTCTACCGACTGAGCTAGCCGGGCGAGATGAGACAAGTTTCATTTAGCAGAACATCCTAACATTGAAGAAGAAGGAAAAGTAACAAAATAAGAGAAGAAAGGAGGAAGCATACAGATAGTATAAAGCAATTCTATAGATTTTTTTTAAAACTTGACTCAAAAATTTGGTAGCCGGTGAAGTAGTGTTAGGAAAATTCCTTTCTGTCCGTTCTTTCATAGTTACCATGTAACACATGCTTAGGCCTCTGAGGGGTGTGAGGAAACCCCTGGGCCCCAGCATCCCTTCCTGGGCAGATCTCATAGGTCTCCCCGTAAGAAGTCACCTCTCGGTTGAGCATTTCCTCATCCCACTTTCCCTTAGGACCGTGTTTCCCAAATTCTCTCTGAATTTTGGGGAACATATAGGTAAAATTGTATACTTAACTAGTGCTCTAAATATACAATTTTACCTATATGTTCCCAAAAATTCGTTTAGCACTTCTTAGTTGGGATTCAGGAATCTGTAGTTTAACAACTCCACCAGGTGACTCTCATCATGAGAGAAGTTTGGGAAACACTGCTTTAGGACAAGAGGGACCCGGGGCATCAAGGGAAGCAGAAAGGGGATTGTGGAAGGGGTCCCCCTGGGTACCAAAGACAGACTTCACCTCCATCACTGTTCTCTTCAGAGATGCCCTGTCGTCAGTAGGCTGAAAGCAGCTCAGGTCCCATGCTAGGGTTTAAACAGCATTTATTTCTCTCACGTACAAAACAAGTCTACAGAACACAGCCCAGGGTGGTAAGGAAGCTCCACAGCCCTAAGATACCTCAGTGCCTCCTGTCTGTTACTCCATCGTCCACAGCTTCTTCATGGTCAAACCCCAGCCATCACATCCCCAGTCCAGGAGCAGGAAAGGAAGGGGTACCATACAACACCACTGCTTGCCTTTCACTGGCCAGGACTTAGTCACATGATCACACTTATCCACAAGGGAGGTTGGGGAAAACTGTCTTCATTCCTTCCCATGGATATGGGCTCACAAAAAAAAAAAAAAATCAGATCCATATGCCAAGGAGGATGGGGAGGAATTAATGTCAAGGGACAACAAGAAGACTTCATCCCAGGATCATGTGTCAGGTCTTGCTAAAACACCTTACTTTTAGCTGAAACCGGTTTGGCTCAGTGGATAGAGCCTCAGCCTGAGGACTGAAAGGTCCCAGGTTCGATTCCGGTCAAGGGCATGTACCTTGGTTGCGGGCACATCCCCAGTGGGGGGTGTGCAGGAGGCAGCTGGTCGATGTTTCTCTCTCATCAATGTTTCTAACTCTCTATCCCTCTTTCTCTCTGTAAAAAAAAAAATCAGTAAAATATATTTAAAATACCTTACTTGTCTAGGACCTGAATTCTTTTCAGCTTTCTGGATTTCTTTCCAGGCCCAGACTTAAAAATCACAAGTGAACCCAAGTGGTCAAACTCCAAGACCATTCCCAAGGAAAAGCTTCTGGAAGCTCAGACCCCACTCTGTGATCGTATTAACTCCCCCTTGTGATTTCAGCGGAGATCCTAGAATTGGCCGGCAATGCTGCGAGGGACAACAAGAAGGCGCGGATAGCCCCGAGACACATCCTGCTGGCCGTGGCCAACGATGAGGAGCTCAATCAGGTACCTCTGCCCACGGACACGTGCCCCCGATTGGGTTTGTCAAACGCACGACCGTATGGGACACAGCCGGCTGCAATCATTCCTGCTGTAGTTTCCCGTCCCATTTACACCAAAGAGATCTTTTAGGTCAGTGTTTCCCAAACTTCTCTCATGATGAGGATCACCTGGTGGAGTTGTTAAAATACAGATTCCTGAGTCCCAACTAAGAAGTGCTAAACTAGAATTTTTGGGAACATATAGGTAAAATTGTATACTTACAATCTAAGCTTAGAGCACTAGTTAAATATACAATTTTACCTAAATGTTCCCAAAAATTCTAGTTTAGCACTTCTTAGTTGGGATTCAGAAATCTGTAGTTTAACAACTCCACCAGGTGATCCTCATCATGAGAGAAGATTGGGAAACACTGTTTTAGATCATAAAAGAGAAGAATCAGTTCTGCTAGCATATCCTTCAGCTTCAAAATAAAATTGCCTCTGGAGTAGATCCTGTTATATATTCTGGGTCTGGCCAGACCTTCTTTTCCTCAAAGGAGTGCGGAGACCACTGGTCTGCTGGGCCTGGCCCCAGCTTTGACCTTTGAACTTGGTTTTGTCAAGCTGCGCTCCCGTGTGTGAGGCTCCTTATCCTCTGTTATGTCTGGAATTCCAGAGCCCTCGGCAACAGGGCCGGGGTCAGCCTCTGAACCCTTTCATTTTGCTTTGCTTGTTGTGTTTTCTGCACAAGGTCACAGGGGGCCTCGGTGCCTACGGAGTTACTCTCTGCGAGGGAAACGGGAAAAGCCGATTAGACTGTGCGTTATGCAACTCGGGGGCAACAAAGGCCAGACCTAACCTTGTTTGGCCAACAGTGGGAACTGTACTCGATCCAGAGTCAGCGAGCTCCTAGTGGTCTGAACCGACACGTTTCTCTCTCCAGCTGCTGAAAGGCGTGACCATTGCCAGCGGGGGCGTCCTGCCCAGAATCCATCCCGAGCTGCTGGCCAAAAAGCGGGGGACCAAAGGCAAGTCGGAAACCATCCTCTCCCCGCCCCCCGAGAAGAGAGGAAGGAAGGCCACGTCCGGCAAGAAGGGGGGCAAGAAATCCAAGGCTGCCAAGCCACGGGCGTCCAAAAAGGTGAGCCAGGCTGTGTCTGAGCGCCAGGGGCTCTCTGAACAGGAGGAAGGTTGGACCGTCAAAGACGGAGGTGTAGCCACGTCTCCAAAAAACGGGGGACTCCACAGCGTGGTGCTGGGAGACAATGCCACGCACGAGCTCCAGTCATCAGGCGGGGTCTCCCAGAGGTTTCCAAAGCCTGGGTGGTTCTCATGGTTCCAGATCCCTGCCTCTGCCCCCATAACTAAGGTGACCAGACGTCCCACTTTTGGCAGGACAGTCCCAATTTTTAACAATTTGTCCCGTGTCCCATGGCATTTTAAAAAAAGTCCCGATTCGCCGAAACTGGTTTGGCTCAGTGGATAGAGCATCAGTCTGCGGACTGAAGGGTCCCGGGTTTGATTCTGGTCCAGGGCATGTACCTTGGTTGCTGGCACATCCCCAGTAGGGGGTGTGCAAGAGGCAGCTGATCGATGTTTCTCTCTCATCGATGTTTTTTTTTTTTTTTTTTATATATTTTATTGATTTTTTTACAGAAAGGAAGGGAGAGAGATAGAGAGATAGAAACGTCGATGAGAGAGAAACATCGACCAGCTGCCTCTTGCACGGAGCAATGTACATGTCCTTGACCGGAATCGAACCTGGGACCCTTCAGTCCGCAGACTGACGCTCTACCACTGAGCCGAACCGGCTTCGGCCTCATCAATGTTTCTAACTCTCTCTCCCTTCCTCTCTGTAAAAAACAATAAAATATATATATATTTTTTTTTTTTAAAAAGTCTCGATTTTTTAAAGACTTCTTTCCAAAAATCGGGACTTTTTAAAAACGCTTCGGGATGCGGGACAAATTGTTAAAAATCGGGACATCTGGTCACACCCTAGAGAGGCCCCTAAGGCCAGCCGATGGGGTGTCAGGTGCGGCGGATAACCTGACAGGCTGAGCAGCTACAGCCGGAGATGCCGTTTGCAGAGTAATGCTTTCAGGCGCTGCCCAGGCAACTGCTTTCAGGCACCTGCTCTCCACGTGCAGCTCCTTCGTTTGAGTTTAACTTACTTAAGTCAGATTTAAAAGTGTTTTCTCGGTTGCACGAGCTGCGTGCTCCGTTGCCCTGAGCAGCACAGACACGGGACGTTTCCACAGTCACGGGATGTCCTGTGGGCCAGCACAGCATCAGAGGCTGTCAGCTCCCCTCCCAGACCTTCATGACACTCGGAGGTCATGTAAGCGCTCCCTGCCTGCCTCGGGTCCCAGGGAAACCCGGGACAAGGGGTGGAGCCGTGTGCCAGAATGACCCTCCCAGGTTCCGGTGCTTGTCATCGTGAGAAGAGCAAGAATCACACAGCTGTGTGCGGGCTTGCGTGAGAACTACAGGAGCACCTGAACCCTTGCACACGTCATATTTTGGGTGGCACTCTTTTCTTGTCCTGATATTGCTCCCTTTTGCTTCCCTCCATCAAGAGCAGTAGAACAGACGCTAACCACTGCCTTCCATGCCCACAGTGGTGGAGGCCATGGGAAGAGCTTTATGTAACCACTTCGGGCTTTTTCTCGAATGATTGCTCACCTGTTCCTCTGATTTCTACCCACAGTCCAAACCAAAGGACAGCGATAAAGAAGGGGCTTCGAATTCCACCTCTGAAGACGGGCCAGGAGATGGGTTCACCATCTTGTCTTCTAAGAGCCTCGTTCTCGGGCAGAAGGTACTGAAGAGAATTGTGCTGTGCTGTAGTAAAGCACGACTGCATTTTTTAAAAAAATTTTATTGATTTTTTACAGAGAGGAAGGGAGAGATAGAGAGTTAGAAACATCAATGAGAGAGAAACATCGACCAGCTGCCTCCTGCACACTCCCCACTGGGGATGTGCCCGCAACCAAGGTACATGCCCTTGACGGGAATTGAACCTGGGACCTTTCAGTCTGCAGGCTGACACTCTATCCACTGAGCCAAACCAGTTTCGGCACATGACTGCATTTTTAAATCCTCACCTGAGAATATGTTTATTGATTTTTAGAGAGAGGATAGAAGAGGGAGAGAGATCAATCAATCGGTTGTCTCCCATACTTGCTCTGACCAGGGATGGAATCCACAGCCTAGGTTTGTGTCCTGACCAGTGATCGAACCCGCAACCTTTTGGGGCAATGGGATGACACCACAACCAGCTGAGCCTCCCCCAGAGCCATGGTTTCATTTTTATAACCTACTATTTATAAAACAAGCAGTGATGCCTCCTTCATCCCGGTTCCCCTAATCTGACTTTCGCTCTGGCCTTGAATGATTCATTTTTGAACTAAAGAGTAAACAAGTTCTTCCGTGCTGAGAATTGTGCATGCTGACGTTGGCCGGCCAAAGGTAAGCATAGAGAGTAGTTGATCAGTAGATAGGATGGCATTACTGGTTTTGCTGGAAATGGCCCGAGCCCCAGTTATTTTTGTGCTCACCAAAATACTCATAGCTAACTTTCCAGGCAGGCTTTGGGAGGTCCACGTTACATGGCTCACTGTAATTCATCAGAGAAAGAAAATAGAAATATGGTTCCTGGAAACCCCTGGTGTTAGAAATGAATTATTTGCCAATACTTTGCCTTTCTCGGCTGTAGGAGAAACAAACAGGCCAGGCACGTGAACAATCTCCAGCAGCTCAGCGGAGGCCCAGCCAGACATGCAAATAATTCGTTCCCCCAGCATAAAAGTTTACCAAACAGACAATTATCTATCAGATCAACTGGGGCTAAAATACGATCCGCAGAAAACAGCTGATCAGATCTCTGGTAGCGCAGCGTTTGCAGCCTGACAACAGTGCAGTGTGACTCCATGGAGGCGGTGGGGACGAGCATGTGTGGGAAGAGGGTAGCTGTGGCAGGTTCCTGAGGCATCGCCGATGGAAGCCCAGAGCAGAGGCGGGATTCACGTTCCCTCCAGGGGCCGTCCGCAGTCACAAGGCGATCAGCTTCCTCTCACTTCTCGAGGGGATCGTGATGTTCTTGCATGGAGAGGCAGTGGACAATGCTTCCATTCCACTAAGCCCTGTGCACGTTATGGCAGCATTTCACACGTGTAGCCCCACTTGTGGTCCACTACAGGCGAGGTGGCCAGGCATAGGCAGGTCAGGGTCCCGGAGCCCATCGCGTCTCTCAAGCGAGGTCAGCAACTTCGTGACTCTGCCCCACAGGTCTGCGGGGCTCTGGGGAGGATGTAGGGAATGGAAGGCAGAGGAGAGAGCAAGCCTCGGGCTTCCCTTGCAGAAGCTACTCAGAGACTCGTCACCGACCAGCAAGGCTGCCCGGACTGAGAAAGGCAGGCACAGGCTGCGGGACAGGAGATGAGGAGAGGTCCCATTTCTGCTCCTGGATGGGGAGATGGGTGCAAGCTGCTAGCCTCAAAGCGAAAATCAAACCCACTGTGCCCCAAGGGCCTGTGGAAAACCAGACACCTGGGAAACTGAGACACTGCTCCATGGACAGCCCTTTGTGTTGACGTCCGGTATTAGTACCTGAGAGAATTAACAGATCTGATGGTAAATGTGAAGCTGTTTAACAGGATCTAATCTTTCCATCCTTTCTTCCCAATGCAGCTGTCCCTGACCCAGAGTGACATCAGCCATATTGGCTCCATGAGAGTGGAGGGCATTGTCCACCCAACCACAGCCGAAATTGACCTCAAAGAAGACATAGGTAAGGTCCCCCGACTTGAGTAGTGCCATAGGATAGCACTCTGTTCAGGCGAGCTCCTCTGAGGTAGGTCCTTGTCAGCTGGCTGTCCCCTGCTTGGGGTGGCTACCTTCGTATGTAGCTGAACAACATTACTGGAGAGTAATTGTGTTTTAAATCTGCATATATTTTTGAAATTTTCATTGAAATGATATATAAAAACAGATCATTCGTGCACATCTTGGTGAATTTTTCTTAAAGTGAATTCATCTTTGCAACCAGCACCTTGATCATGAAGCAGAACCTTACCAGCACTCAGAAGTCCCCTTCTCCCCACTCCCAGTCTCCATTCCCTCCACGGGTGACCACTATCTTGTCTTCTGACAGCACAGATGGCGTCCTGTTTTGGAGTCTTTATAAATGAAATCATGCAGTATGTCTTCTTTTGTGTCTGCCTCCTTTTGCTCAACTTTGAGTTTGTGAAGTTCACTCATATTGTTGAGTATGATTGTAGTCCATTCGTTTTTCTTTTCTGAATAGTATTCCACTGTAGGAATATATTCCAATTTGTTGATCCATTCTACCATTGGTGGCATTTGGGTGGTTTTGATTTAGATAATAATGAGTCATACTGGTACAAACATTGTTGTACGTGTTTTTGGTAAAATTCTACATATGTTTTAAGCTTAAATATTGAGAAAACCATTGATAAAAAGGAAATGGACACTTAGGACAAATCCATTGTCGTTAAGGCAGGAGGTGTTACCAGGTTAGATAGAAGAGCTTGGGAAGGGAAGCTTTAAAGGCACGAGAAATAACAGCATACTCAGTGGTCACCATCTCGGCCCTGGCCGGTGTGGCTTAGTTGGTTAGGTGTCATCCTTTGCATCAAAAGGTTGCCAACTTGATTCCCGGTCAGGGCACATGCCCAGATTGTGGTCTCAATCCCCAGTAGGTGGCCATCAAATCAAGGCATTGAATTAAATGAACACAACAAGTACTGAGCCCAGAGAACAGAACAATGGAGCCTCAAAAAAAAAAAAAATCAACTTCAGGATTCCTGTCAGTAGACACATTACGGTCAAATCAGGAGGTCCTTGAAGAGTTTGTTAGGATCTAAGTCCTGATGGACAGAAGCCAGACCCTGCCCCAGGTGACCACTGGAAAACCAGGATGTCAGTTGCAAAGTTTTATTCTGACTTTCTAAGTCTGGCTTGTTTGTTTGTTTACTCTGGCCAGTAAAACCATGTCTAGCCGAATCCGGTTTGGCTCCGCGGTAGAGCATCGGTCTGCGGACTGAAAGGTCCCAGGTTCGATTCCGGTCAAGGGCATATACATTGGTTGCGAGCACATCCCCGGTAGGGGGTGTGCAAGAGGCAGCTGGTTAATGTTTCTCTCTCATTGACGTTTCTAGCTCTCTATCTCCCTCCCTTCCTCTCTGTAAAAAATCAATAAAATATATATTTTTTTAAAAACAAAACAAAACAAAAAAACATGTCTAACAATGTGGTTGGTGGCACTGAAAAGAAAGCCACCGTGGCTCCCGCCTGTTCTCCTTCACAGGAAAGGCCTTGGAAAAGGCTGGGGGCAAAGAGTTCCTGGACACGGTGAAGGAGCTCCGCAAGTCCCAGGGCCCCTTGGAAGTGGCTGAAGGTGAGTGTGGAACTGGGCCATGTTCCCTCCCCACCTCCCTCCCCAGCAGTGCATGCTCCCACATGCTCATTTTGCAAAGTAAACTATGCCGTACCTCATCAGAAGGTTATTTCTTAATTTGAAGAGTTGCGGGTGGATCATGTCATGCCCTTCAGGGGGCCATAAGTATCTGGATAGTTCAAGTCAGTTTGCTTCAGGTCACCCAAAAATGGTCCGGAGCTCTTGGGTAACTTCAAGTCATTCTCCTCCCTCAGCTGCTGGCAACTGTCAGTCTGCCTCTGACTGTGGATTTGCCTGTTCCGGACATGTCATAGAGATGGAGTCATACAATATGGGGCTTTTTGTGTATGACTTCTTTCACAAATAATTTCTTCAAGGTTCATCATATTGTAACAGGTGTCAGAACTTCATTCCTTTTTTTATGGCCGAATAACATTCCGTTTTGCTTATCCATTCATCACTCGGGTTGTTTCCACCGTTAGCTATTGTGAATAGAGCTGCTATGAACATTTGCACACAAGTTTTTGTTTGACACCTGTCTTCAAGACAGTTGGGTACTTTTTTTTTTTTTTTTTTTTTTAGGTAACACGGCTGTGTTTATATATTTAATAAACATACCTGCTGGTCCCTAAATCAGCTCACTCTTCATACAAAGCCTTTGCACATTCTGGAACCTATGCCCATCCTGATAGGCCCGCTCCCCAGGCTGGAGGGTTCACAGGGGTCAGGCTGCTGGGAGGCTGTGATCAGAGAGGAACCGGGAGGCATGGAGATGCCAATCTTGTGCTGTTGGGGCTCCAGGCGCCTCAGACACACCCTGCACAGCAAGGGCCTTGGGTCCTAGGCCTCCTCCACCTCCTTCTCACAACCAGTGTGCTGAAGCTGTGAGTCCTTGAAGAACCTGGAGTTCAAAATGTCCACCAGGAGGAGGAAGGCGAAAGTCCCGCCCTAAGGGGATGTGCAGACACCAAAATACCCTTTAGCTCTGCTGGACATGACATGAGTTCAGTGCCTTCTGGGTAATGTAGTTTTCTCAACCGCCCATGGAATTTGGGCATCCTGCCCATGACTTAGGTGAACAATAGTGTTGAGGCCCAGCAAGTGACACAGTTGGGTACTTTTTGATGGATGTGTTTAACTTTAGATCTGTTCTGCACCCACACCACCTCCCAATGACCATCTAGTCAGTGCCAGGTGCTGCCCTGATGCCACGGTCCCAAAGGTGTGGCTCTCGACTTACAGAGGATCCAGTCACTAGCACAGGCCTGCACCAGACCTGTCAAGTCAGGACGTCAGGGTGGGGAAGGACATGTCTATTGGTCAATCTAATAGCCATTGTATTGGTTTCCTATCGCTGCTATAAAAAAATTGCCACAAGCCCTAGTCGATGTGGCTCAGAAGATAAGAGTATCTGCCTGTGGACCCAAGGGTCCCAGGTTTGATTCTAGTCAAGGGCACATGCCTGAGTTGTAGGCTCGATCCCCAGTAGGGGGCATGCAGGAGGCAGCCAACCCATGATTCTCTTATCATTGATGTTTCTCTCTCTGTGTCTCCCCTTTCCTCTCTGAAATAAAAAAATATATTTTTAAAAATAACCACAAATTTTGTGGCTTCAAACAACACCGATCTATTCTCTATGAGCTCTGGAGATCAGAAGCCCACAGGCTCCTGAGCCAAGGTGCTAGCAGTGCCGGTTCCTGCTCCAAGGAGCTGTTCCTTGCTCTCCCAGTCCTGGGCTGCCATGTTCCTTGGCTCCTGGACGCCACTCTCCCATCTCTGCTTCACCAACACATCATCCTCTTCTACTTTGACCTTCCTGCTCCCTCTTAAAAGATTGTGTTCCCATCTCAACATCCCTCTCAATCCCATCGCAAAGCCCCTTTGCCATGGAGGTGACATGCACAGCTTCCAGGGATTCGGTGTGGACATCTGGGGAGGCCATTCCGCAGCCTCCCACAGCCCCAGAGGTGACCCTGATGTGCACCCCAGTCAGGAACCCGGTGAATAGGTAGCCTCACCCGGTGACTAGTTGGCAGGACACAGGAAGTTAGGTGGTGCCCCATCGGCTTTAAAGGAGCTTGTGCCCACTGTCAGAGAAGAGCGATGCTGGCACAGCTCCTGCTCTGTAAACCTACCGTCCCCTCCGAAGGCACAGAAGGTTGTCCAGTCAACGTCTCTGTCGCCTCCTTGTCCCCACACATCTAACAGGTGTATGTGGGGTTCGGCCTAACCCCCTGGCTTACGGTGAAGGCTAGGGAATAACCTGCGGCATTTCTCTCCCATGCCCCAGCTGCCGTCAGCCAATCCAGCGGACTTGCAGCCAAATTTGTCATCCACTGTCACATCCCTCAGTGGGGCTCCGACAAATGTGAAGAGCAGCTTGAAGAGACCATCAAAAACTGCCTGTCGGCAGCGGAGGATAAGAAGCTCAAGTCTGTGGCCTTCCCGCCCTTCCCCAGCGGCAGGTAGGAGGGGCTCCTCCAGGCGGGCGGGTGGGGAGCTCCAGCCTTCTCCCGGAGCCGGGAGCCGGTGCCTCCCCTTACACATCCACCTGAAAGGCTGCCTTTAGCCTCGGGCCTGCTCGTCAGTGCCAGGTGCTGCCCTGATGCCAGGGCCCCAAAAGCAATAAACCCCTCTCCTGCCCACAAGCACAGGCAGCCTATGAGGCAAGACAGACTCAATGGTGGGGCACGGAGAGATGGGAACAGGACTGCAGAGCCCACCCTCATGCAGACAGAACCGGAGGCTGCCAGCGCAGCAGGCGTGCTGGCCTGGTGATGGGCAAGAAACCCGCCTCCATCCTTCGGAACACTCGGAGAGAAGTGAGAGGCAGAAACCACCAGGCTCTGAAGGCCTTCTACTCACGGGGATCCTGTGCTGCTTTGGGTGTTGGGGGGGAGAGAGGAGAGACACACGTGAAAGGAAGGCCAGGGGCCAGGGCTGTGACATGCCCACCCAGAGAGAGGAAAAGCTCTCGCCTAGGGTTTGCTTTGGGGGGTTAGAAGAGGAGAGGACTCGTTTCTGTAAGTCACTGCTGCTGAAGTGACATCCGCACATCTGTCTGTGCTGATGACAGGAACATTAAGTGCATGGAAAGGAAGTATGAACACAAGCTTTTGAGCATCTGTTTTTGCCCTTTAATGAACAATCCACCATGTAAACTGGTTTTGAGGGAGCTAATGAAACCTTTATGTGCTGTTTTGAAGACCAGGTGTTTGAAATGCTGCATTGGTAGTGTATGTAAAGCCAAGCTTGACTCAAGGCGGGCTACATATTCAAACTCAGGGCACCGCTCACTGGTCCGCCCTATGATCTTGGCTAAAACCACTGTACCTGCATCCGTGTGGCACCTGTAAGGTGATGTATGGGTCCCCTGCTTCCCCCTTACACCCAGCTGTTGCTCTGACGGGCATCAAAGGAGGCCGTGCGCGGACCAGCCTGCACGTGGTTAGACCCCAAGATAAGAAGGGCCCGCGTTGTCCCGCCCGGGGCTGGCATTCCATGGGTCCCAGGGACCACAGTGACCTGGGTTCTGCCTTTCCTTCGGCACAGAAACTGCTTCCCCAAACAGACGGCCGCTCAGGTGACCCTCAAAGCCATCTCGGCCCACTTTGACGACTCGAGCGCGTCCTCGCTGAAGAACGTCTACTTCCTGCTCTTCGACAGCGAGAGCATCGGCATCTACGTGCAGGAGATGGCCAAGCTCGACACCAAGTAGCCGGACGGCTGCACTCGCCAACCGGAGTCGCCGGAGGATCGGTCACGGGAGCAGGTTTTATTTTTCAAAAGGAGAGAGAGAGGGAGTGTTGGGCGGCTGAAGGGGTGTGGGTGGCAGAGGCTGCGGGAGCAGGTCCCGCCCGCGGAAGGAGCCTCTGCATTTTATATTCTCGTTAAAAAGAGCCTCCGTCCTAAAAACCAGGTTTCCACGAGGGGTTCTTTCCATGTGTTTTTCTTCCTGTTGTTTTAGAACTTTTTAAAAAAAAAATACAGACTTCATTTTAGATTTATAGCATTGACTTTTACACACACCAAGAAAATCCTTTCAAAATTCTTGTCTTCTGTTTCTCCTTTTGCAAGGGAGGAGGGCGTGCAAGTGGCCTGGGCTCTGCTCAGAGGCTCTGTGTTCTGTGACGGAGGAGAAAATTAGAAAGGCATCTCACTGGTGCTTTATCTTTCTTAGTGCCCCGCCATCCCCACCCCGCCCCCTATACCGTAACTACTCCTCAAAAGGATTTACTTCAGGCTTTTTTCTGTTTTGTTTTGTTTTTTAAAGAAAAAGAAAATGAAAGGAAAAAAAAAAAAATAAAAGATTCAGTGTCTTTCTTACAACATATTCTTTTATTGCAACATTTTCCTGTTTGGAAAACTGTCCCCATGGGTATGGGCACGTCTAGAATATTATGAACAGAACGAGGCCTGTCTCCAGTGGGCTCTGGCTCCCGCCATGCTAGGTAGGTCCCAGGTCAGACAGCACAGAAGGGCCTGTTTCTCAGGCATCGGGTCCTGCTTCCAGAAGGGCGGGGGGCTTCGTTGGCCTTGGTCCATAGGAACTCAGCCCTGGGCGATGCCCCAATGGGGAAGCCGTGCTTGGGAGAGAGGCACATGTCTCAGTATCCCAGGCCACAGCCCAGACGGGATGCAGTGAGCGCCCCCGTGAGGCTGGTGTCCAAGGACTCTGGCCAAGTAGCCAGAGGCCACATCAAAGGTAAGCAGGGAGGGGCAGGCCGGGCAGGGTCAGAACCTGAGTTTATTCGGATGAACTCATCAACCACTTCTGCTGTAGAGTGAACTTACAGGGTCCCAAATAGGCTCCTCCAGATTGAAGTTCTCTCCCAAGCAGAGGAGTCAGTATACCCTTAGCACAGCTGCTGGCGGGCATCCTCCCTACCAGCCCGGGTCTCCAGATAACTGACATTAGGGTTGGCCAAGAAGCCAGAAGCACAAAACCACCAAGGAGTTTTTCACTTGTAACTTTGCTCGTGACAGCAGCCTGGAAGCACACAGGGGCTCGTCTGCTCCCTGGATGTGAACCCTTCCACAGGCCTCACAGCTCGGCTGCCTCCCCTTAACACCTCCACGTCTCACTCTTAACTCCCTCAGCTTAGTAAAAACTCACTGTTAGCAGGGACCAACCAACAGGGAAATTTTTACCTCTATCTTCTTAAATATAACCTATGATATAGAATCATAGCATATATGGTATGAAAATTGAAATATAGAAAGTTTCATTAAGATTAAAGACTACCGGGACTAACAGTTTAAAACCGGCCTCCCACTGACAACTGGAGTATTGCAGGATGTGTGGGCTTGCCCGCCCTACACACAGGAAGCCAGCCCTCAGGAGACCCAGCGTCTGCACAAGCACACATCCAAAGGGGGCCTGTGATGCAGAAGGCTGGCTTTGCACTCCCAGGACCAAGTGAAGCATTCGGCCTCGCCAAACCCAGAAAGAATCCTCTAGGGGCTGTCCTTTTAGTCTCTTTCTCCCTCCCTCTCTGTTTCCCTCTCTTTCCTCTCCATTTTTGCTTTTCAGTAAGTTGTGTTTCTGGTGAGTACATCAGTGGCATCTCACTCCAGAAAGAGTGCCCTTTGGCTGCTGTCAGGCGGGTACCACTTGCCAGGCAATCCGTTCCCGGGTGAGGGTGGTGCCTCGTCTCCCGCCCAGCCTCCTCGTCAGGGTGGAGACTGCCTCATGGTTTTCCAGCTCGTGGAGATGAACAGGTCCCGGCTCTTGGCCAGCCGAACCATGAACCGCCCCACATAGAAGCCGCTGATCTGGCCCACACCGTCGTTTCTGCCCATGGCCAAGAGGAACGTCAGCGCACCTGTGGAGCAGAGGCACAAGCTAGAGTCCCGCTCACCATCTGTGGCAGGCAATCCCCAGATTTACTTATCAATTACAAATTATTAAAGCGCTCTAGGAAGTATTCCTACAGCCAGCTTTAAGTCTGTCCTTGCCCTGGCCGTTGGGGTTGGATGTCATCCTGTGCACCAATAGGTTGCAGGTTCGATTCCCGGTCAGGGTACTTGCCGGGCTTTCGGGCTCAGTGCCCGGTAGGAGGCGTGCAGGAGGCAGCCAATTGATGTTTTGCTCTCCCATCAATGTTTCTTTCTCTCTCTCCTTCTCCCATAATTAATAAAAACATTTTTTAAAAAATTCGGTACTAGTGGTCAGTCATCTCAAAGACTTTGACCATGATTAACCCCTACTCACTTAAAACTGAAGCAAAAGTTGCTCTGGCTGGTTTGGCACAGTGAATAGAGCCTCGACCTGCAGATTGAAGGGTCCCAGGTATGATTCCAGTCAAGGGCCTGTGCGTGAGTTATAGGCTCGATCCCCAGTAGGGGTGTGCAGGAGGCAGCCAATCAATGATTCTTTCTCATCATTGTTTCTATCTCTCCCTCTCCCTTTCTCTCTAAAATCATTTTTTTTTTTTATTTTTTAACTGAAGCACGTGGGACTCCCTCACCTGGTTTATAGGCCTTGAAGGGCTTCTGTTTCATGGAGTTGATGATGTTGGCCACGGCGATGTTGGCGTGGAGGCCGGCGTGGTAGGCCATCTTGGGCTCCTTCACGTCGGCACAGTCGCCGATGGCATAGATGTGACTGTAGCCCTCCACCTGGAGGTACTCGTTCACCCTGAGGGCACCATTGCTGGCCAGTCCACTATCTGCCAGGCAAAACCAACAGGAAACCAAAACCCTAAGCCGCCATGGTGAGTGGCCCCCGGAGCACAGAGACGAGGAGCTCTGGTGCCGGTCAAGAGGCGCCTTCTCCAGAGGCGAGCCGCCCCCCAGTTTACTCCGCCTGAAGCCCCTCCTCAGAACGCCTCCTGCAGAGGCAAGGTCACCATCCCGGGTGGAAACGGGCCAGAAGGACAGCCAGGGCCATCCTCTGTAACGTGCATGTCTCTGTAAGCTGCCATGATTAGCACAGTGCTTACGTTCACAGCTTGGCCAAGTCTTGAATTTTCTTTTGTACATGGATCAGCTTTTTAAAATAAATGCAGGGCTTTAATAAATGATAAACTTTTCATGTTAAGGGACTTAAAAGTTCATCTTTGAAGTATATCATTAGGACAATTAGATATTAGATGTTGGGCTCCCTGTCCATTAACCCTCAGTTCCACCCGCATGCCTGGCCTGGACTAGCTCCCTCCCTCTGGGGTTGGATAAGTCTCCCCTGCAGACACAGAGGAGGGGCTCCCCGGGCAGGAATGGGACTCAGGAATAAATGAGGGAACCTGAGGACACAGCAACATGGGGCCTGACCAACAAGGAGCCACTGAGTCTCCATTCACACGTGAAGGCACAAGTCCCTCAGCTCCATGTTTCAATCAGCTTGATGGTCCAATATTGAGCTTTAAGGACACGAGGCCACAATATGGCCCCCACTCCCCAAATGGGCATCCCAGCCCAAGTGGCCAACATCTGGGTCAGGGTTTGGGGAGAGCAGCACACCTGTGAACAGAGAAAGGCCTGACCCCAAAATTTCCTCTGCATCCTGATCCAAGGACAGGATCAGAAAGCAGACCTTTTCCAGCTCTCTGAAACCTGTTCTCCCTCCTTAGGGGTGGGCCCCCATTTTGTAAGGGTCTCGTCACCTTGGACGTCTTGGACTAAGTCATCATTATCACAGCTGAGGAAAGGACAGCAAGAGAGAACCTGAACCTGAATTTAAAGTTTGATGTCACCCTTCAGAAGAGACGAAAGAGCTGCTGGGATGGAGGGAAAGCAGGGGGTGCCGATTCCTGGGGGAAAGGCCTGAGGGGGCTTGGACGCTGGGCAGTGAGGAGGCAACCTGAGGAGTGGACAGTGGCTCTGCCGCCTGCTTACCAAATGCACGGTGGTAGGCAAAGCTGTTGATCTTGATGCCGTTGCAGACAATCACCAGGTTGGTGGCCACCTCAGTGCCTTTGTCTGTCTGCACAACGATGCACTCGCGATACTCGTTGAAAGGCAGCTCTGCCATGTTGCTCACCCGCTCACCTGTCAAGGGAGGTCTGTGACCAGGAGGCTGGCAGAGGGTGGACAAGGCTGGTCCACACCAACGCTGACCCAGGGAAGTCTGGAGACCCGTGAAGGCCCCAGGAAAGGCCTGGATGCTGTAGCCCGATTAGGCAATGACTCCACTCCCCCTTCCCGCCCTGCTCCTCTCCCAGTCCACCTGCTACCCCCACAAGCACAATCCGGACACCAGGCCCCAAGGGATACGATGGGAGGAAAGTTCCAAGAAGCAATTTGAGGCTGAGTTTCCCAAGTTCTGGGAAAAGCCATTGGAGGAAGACCTCCAACATGCCTCCCCGACGATGAGCTATGCCCACCTGCCCGGGCAGGACAGGCCCTCCAGACAAAGATGAAGCCAGCCGACCCTCCTCACTGCCTAAATGTAGAGGTGATCACAGCACTGCAGAGCCAGGAGCAAGGAGACAAGAGCCATCCAGACTTTCATAGAGCAGACACCACCCCCTCCCTGAAGGGGCTGAGCCCCACAAAGTGTGGAGGACACCCTGGGGTTAGAGCCCCGCTCGCTAGCTGCTGGGTGGCTCTCTTCCCTCTTGCTCTGGACAAAAGCCACACCCTCACCACCCTCAAGATACAAACCAAAAAATTATTCTCTCCACCACAGACACATCATAATTCAGGTCAAGTCCTTTAGATGGTTTTTTAAAAATAATTCAACAAATAACTACCACCTGCACTTTGTCCAAACCAATAGCCAGGACAGTGCTGGTCTGTGACATGAAATCCCGTAAGTATGAGGGCTTCTGTCCTGCCCGAGGGCAGGTACAACCTCCGGCTGGACATCAGGGCTCAAATGGGCTTCGATGCTCAACCCCAGGACTCAGAGAACGTGGCCACCCTCTAGCTGAGGGCAGTGACCAAGCCTCGAGCCCAATCGCACTGGGCCAGGGGGAGGGCACGTACTCAGCAGCAGCTGCACGCCTTTCTGGAGCAGGATCTCCTTTGCCTCCTGCCGGACACAGGGCAGGAGCTCCTTGTCAGCCAGGGCCATCTGGGAGTGAATCAGAGTGACCTGGGGACAAACGACCATAGGACAGAGGAGCCGCTGAGCCTCCTGCACACAATAAGAGGCTCAAAAACACCTGGTCTGCCTCCCCCACCACCTCCCCTACCTCAGGTCACAGGTTTGGGAACTGGGGCCCAAGTGAAACAATTTGCCCAACACTGGAACCAGCTCACAGCAAGCTGGGCTGGAGCCCACGTTCCCGGTCCAGGACTCAGAATGGGCCAGCAGGCCACAACCACACGGAGCACCACGTGGAAAATTATCTCGAACGTCCTTGGGCACTTATGGTCACACAGTCATATATAAGCCATTGACATGGTAACCTGACATTTACATTAAAGCTGGTTTTCAAACTACAGCACTTCCTAGCCTGTGGGTCAGCACAGGGAAGCGAGAGGCAGCCTGGAATGGTACTCAAAGCCTGGGCTTTGGAATCAGACTGCCTGGGTTGAAATCCCATCTTGGATACTCACTCAGACACTACCTGACAGCTCAGTAAGAAGGGTCACGGTCCCACTCCTAGAAATGTAATGATGGGGGCAAAGATGGGGGGTTGAGAGGGTCAATGGAGAAAAAAAAAGGGGGGGATATCTGTAATACTTTCGACAATAAAGATAAATTTAAGCCCTAGATGGTTTGGCTCAGTGTATAGAGGGTTGACCTGTGGACTCAAGGGTCCCAGGTTAGATCCCAGTCAAGGGTACATGCCCAGGTTGCAGGCTCCATCCCCAGTACAGTGTGTGCAGGAGGCAGCTGATTTTAGTGATTCTCTCTCATCATTGATGTTTCTATCTCTCTCTCTCTCCCTTCCTCTCTGAAATCAATAAAGATATATATTTTTAAAGATAATTTTAAAAAAATAAATGTAATGATGAAATGAGCATGTGTGTATAAAGCACATAACATACAGTACAGTGGCTGTTATTACTCTTATGTGTCTACGGATCATAAACATATGGAAGTTTTCCTGAGTTCCTTCTTACTTCAGACTGGTCTTTACCCCATAAATCAAAATTAATGAACTTTTACATCAATTATTCATAATAATTTCCCACAATTTGTCAGAGTACAATTGTATAATTAAATTAGCCCATATTGATCTCACTTTTCAAAACCAACATGCCTTTCCCTCGGGAAAGAGAAGCAGCCACAGGCTCCACGCAGCTCTCAGAAGTGGATCTGGCATCAGCTGCAAGCATGCTCTCGCCTCCGTAATTACCAATCATCGCTCAGCCCTCAGCTGAGCCTTTGCAGCTGCCAGGACGTGTTTTCTCTCCAGGGTGGCAGCCAGATGCTCGATCCCTCCCTCATTAAAAGGGATCAGGGCCACCCTCCCGTGGGCAGAAGGCAGTGCCGGCCGGTCCTGAGTGAGGGGCTGCACCGCAGGCTCCCTCTGTGCTGTCCAGGGCAAGGGCTACCGTCTCTTCAAGACCAAAAAAGTAACTAAAGGTGCTTTTGGCCAAGCTAGTTGTCAGCAAAAAGAGGCGATCGAAGTGAGGTCACAAAGCTGGGACACTGAGGGGACACAGGAGTTCATCTTTGTAAGGGGTCTCCCCTGGCCTTGATTCTCCTGGTTGGCCCAGAAGGCATGACCGACCCCTCACTGAACTAAGATACATCCTGCTTATCTGTCCAGGAAAATTCCCATCAGAAAGGGACTTTAGCGGATCCCTCAGTGCAGAGAGCAGGAGTCGGGAAACACAAGCTCCCAACGTGTGCTAAGGGAGCTCAGCCTCCCAGGCCTTGAGCAAATTCCTGATTTCCCTTGCCGGCCACTGAGAGGTCAAAGCCAAGGCCGCTTGCCCACCTCTTTCTCAGGGTACTCGGTTTTAATCTCCGCTGCCATCTCCACTCCGGCAGAGCCTCCGCCCACCACCACGATGGACTGTGAGCACTGGACCTGGAGCAAAAGCAAATGTGAAAACACCCGCTCAAATTCACCATGCCTCAAGGGGAGCTCTGAGGTCGGGGGGGGGGGGGGGGGGGGGGAGAGACGGAGGTCCTTGCCATAAGAGAACTCTTTCCAAATGTGAGGCCTAAATGTGCTTCCTCGGGGCCTGGCACTTGCTGGGTGTCTCCCTGCATTTTCTCCTTTGATGCTCACTCACAACAGCCCCAAGAGGCAGGTATCATACCACCTGCCCAGCCTTCAGATGACCATGGCCCAGGTCTGTCTGAGTTCAAAAGCTGGGCTCCTAACCTCTACACGAGTGTTTTTCTCCTGGCTTCTCAGAGCTGTGCAGAGAGGGGAAGATCTGACCAAGGCAGGTAGCAGCACTCACCCTGAGATCCTCCCCTGGTCTCCACTCCTCATCACTTCGAAGGGGACAGAGCACCCACCCACCTCAGGACGGCTGTGAGAGCTGACTGAGGGCAAGGACCAAGCCTGCTCTTTAAGCCATAAGGCCCTGTGCCACCAGGAGCCCCGAGAGAGGAGGTGGGATCCCCAGTCGCTACATGAGCAGGTCTGGATGCTCATGTCCAGACATTGATGACAGATCCAAAGATCTCCTCCCAGGAGTCTCTCTAATAACTCTCCATCTTTGCAGCCGCTGTCACAGCCCTGAGCATCTCCTAGGGTCTCCCTGCTGTCCCCCCAGTTGTTCTGCTCTCCAGGGGCCACCCAGTCTGCGCTCACTGCCCTGCCTGGGCCAGGGGCGCTCACCTGCTTCACCATGTTCTCATAGGCCTGAATGGCCTCCTGCTGGCTGAAGACCTGGTTCAACTTGCCCGGGAAGAACCCAGTGCTGCCCGTGGCCAGGATCAGATGCGAGAAGGGCAGAGTCTGTGAGGGGCAAGTAAAGAAAGGTGAGGGCAGGCCCGGGTTCCTCATCCACCCCCAGGCCCACGGTACTGAGCCCTCTGGGCACTGAGGCAGCCCTTCTTGGCGGGGAGCAAAGCCATCACATGGTTAAGCCAAGGGGGGTAAGGTGCTAGAACCCAGGAGAACCTAGAGAAGCAGGCTTGCCTCCTGCCAGAGCCCCCAGCGTGGAAATGAGGACTGAGCTCCCCACAGTGGGGGCAGGGAAGCTGGAAAGGGGAACCACGTGTGGGGAGTAAGCAGGATTCCAGCTTGCAATGTGGAATTAGTTTAGACTCTCATAGGTATTTTAGGAGAAATTGCCCCCTGTGCCCCCAAAACAAAGAAAAGAAGGGAGGGAGGGAAGGAAGGAGGGAGAGAGGGAGGTCCTGCTTGGAGCCTAAATATATCAAGTGGACAAAACCAGCGCTGCTCTGACGGGAGGAGGACGGGGAGGTCTGTGTCCCGCTTGGCCCTCTCTTCCCATGGACCTTTATGGAACCTCCAGGGCTCTGAAAGTCTGGCCCGAAACCACAGAACAAGGCGACTCTCAGCAATCTTTCCAACTGAGAGATTCCCAGCCCTAAAATTAATCCAAGTAGGATTGATTCACACAAAATCAAAGGCTCATTGAGGACAGACATTGCGTCCCCTTTTTGCAATTCCCCTTTAGCTTTGGATAGAATAGAGGGCAAGACTGGAGGTGACCCACAACATGACGACTGGGCTGGTGGCAGCTCACTGGTGGAGCTCACATCACTGCAGGTGTATACCAGGCGCCGAGCTACTACCGGGCTGAGGAACAGGAAGAGGAATGGAGGAAAAGTCTGCCCCCATGGGTGTGGATCCAGTGTGTGCCTACCCTTTGATTCCAGTGGGCACGGAGGTTGGCCAAGCCTGGGGCTGGTCCAGGACACTGGCTTTCTGAGCGTGGGCTCTGGGAGGAAACTACCTGAGTTCAAATCCTGGCTGAGTATCTTTCTGGCTGTGGGATCCCAACTGTGGGATCCTGGGAGAGCCTCTTATCCCCACGTGACAGGAGGCTACACCACCTCCCCAAGTCATGGCGGGCATCACAGGAGACCGTGTAAAGCCTAAGCCAGTGCCTGGGGTACAGGAAAGGCTCGGGAGATGTCTGCCCCCACTCTCGGGGGCTGCTGTAGTCAGGCCTCCGCTTATGAGGAAGCTGTTCTCAGCACCAGGCAGGGCTGGGGCCAGAGGCCTGCCAGGTAGATGTGCCCAGGTGTTCCACCAGCAGCTGTCAGCCCTGCTCACCTCGCCATCCTCCAGCACCACCGCCTGATTCTTCAGATCGATCTCAACCACCACGCCCTGCCGGAAGCTGTTCTTGAAGCTCTTCGCGTAGGGGATGAATGTCTTTTTGGCAAACCCTGGGAGTGGACACAGAGGAGGCCACAGCGTAAAACTGGGCTGCCCACGGGAGACGGAACCACCCAGAACCTCTCCTGAACTGCATACCAACAGGGGTGCCCCTGACCACACATCTGGGACAGTGGTGTACCCAGGGTATCCACCGCCCCAGTGCCAGTCTGGGCCCAGGGGCCTCAGGGAAGCCCAAGCTCTTACTCTAGGGCCTTGATATGGTAGCTGCTTAAGGCCAATGACCTTTAGATTCTCCAGAGTTTGTCTAGCGGTTGAATGTAGGTACCGTGCCCTAAGTCACAGTGTGATGAGACCAGGAAAGCCCCAGAAAGGAACCCGTTACCGCTCTCCACGGAGGCCCGCAGGGCTGCCACGTTGTGGTGGAAGGAGTCCTTCATGTCCACCAGCGTGAAGGAGATGTTCAGTGCCTGCAGCTGGCTGGCGGCCGTTATCCCGCCAAAGCCCCCGCCTACGATCACCACGTGCACGCCTCTCACTTCCATGGAGACCTGGGACCCCATCGCGAACCGCCGCCACTGCAGGGACAGGAGAGACCACATCGGGGTCAGGGGAAGCTCGAGGCTGGGAGGGCAGGGTGAGCCCACAGGAAGACAGACCTCAGATGCTGAGACTTGACCTTATTAATTTATGTCATCGGTAAGATTTTAATTGTAAAATCCGAATTCCAAAGAAACAGGGGTATCATAATTCCATCCCATCACCCAACCACACAGTTCCGTTCTCCACTGCATCCCTGTCACCAAGTGTATAGGAGTCCTTCAGAAATATGCTGTGTACCTACAATCAGAATTGTTTTTGTACCCATTAAACTATTCTGCATTTTTCCCCATTCAATATATTTGCTCACTCCACAACATAACTTAAATGAGCTCCTGCTCTTTGACGTGCCCTGTGCCGTGGATCCTGGGGTTAGAGACAGATGTCAGAGACAAACAGACGGATATGGTCCCTGCCCTTGCAAAGGAGGGGCTTACAAACCGAAGGGCAGGAGGACGAGGAGCTGGGAAGCTGGTCAGGTGCACAGTAACAGAGACAATGGGCACATCTGTGGGGAAGTATAAGCATGGGCCACATACAGGAACAAAATAAAATTCTTAGGCCCCAAGCTAAGCAAACACTCAGACCAGATTCTGCCCACTCACAGGTCACCAGCTTGAGCCCCAGGGCTAAGGAGATACATGGATAGGTTTTGACAATCAACCTGCAAAATAGGATGTGGTGTGACTGGGCCATGACAGTGGGGCAGGGAGGAGAGGCCGGCAGTGGGCAGGTCATTCCCGGGCACTCCTGGGGCAGTGGTGTACACCAGGACTGCTGGGCAGCCTCCCCGGAGATGGGGCCAGAAGGGAAGTCTGCTGTGAGAAGAAACCGTGCTGGTTAAAGACTGAGAAGGAATTAAGAAGGAGGGTAAGAAGGACGGTAGGGAGCAGTGCTGATCGTGTGGGCTCCAGTGAGGGGGAGGGAGGAGCAAGCACCTGCTTGATGCCAGGGACAGTGTCTGCAGAGGATGGAGGGCCAGGACTGCAGGCCACCTGTGCCCCAGGCCCACACTCGCACCTGGACTGGTGCAGCTGGTCCGGGGTCCAGCAGACTGAGCAAACCTTGGTTGAGTTCCTGAGCAGCTGAAATTCACAAACCCTTGGCCCAGAGCATGACACTGGAGGACATCTGAGGCAGAGGACAGCCTTGGCTGAGTCAGCACAGAGAGAAAAGGAGGAGGTGGCAAAGCTTGCCTGGGTGCCCCAGCCAGCCTGAGAAGCAATCTACCAGGCTCACCCTCCAAAGAGCCCGGGTCACCTGGCGCACCCGAGTCTGTCCCTTTCGAGGGCTAAGATGCTGGCCTGGGGCTGCGGTCAGAGGCCTTACCCAGGTCCAGCTTCACCCCAGAGGGGATGCCCATGGTGCAGGGCCTAGGGCTCTCCAGTGTGGAGCCCAGCCACCTGGGGAGCCACCTGGCCTGCAGCTGAGATCCTGAGAGCAGTGAGGGATTGGGAGGTGCTGGCTGGAGGCGACAGGCAATCACACCTCCTCCTGGCCTGGGCCGGGCTCTAAGGAGGCAGAAATCAAGCAGGCTGCCGAGGAGAGACACGGAAGGACGGCAAAGCTGACATGCACAGAAAGCAGCGAGAGAGGCCCGACAGCGGCCGTGGGCATCAGGGATGGAGGTTCACAGTGGGGGCGGTAGGGGTGGCACAGAGGAGGAAGTGGACTCGGGTCAACCGTGAAGGGTAGACAGCTTCCCCTTGATGGGGAGGCGTGTTCCAGCCAGCCTGGGACCCTCTCAGGCAGCACCCCAGCAGCTGGAAGACTATCCCACTGTCCTGGGCACAACCGCTCCCCACACTCCCGGCCTCCATTTACCCCCTGTAATGTGAGGGGGCACCCTAAGATGTCCTTGCACACATAGGTTTCCAAGATATGGTGGCCCCCAAAATGGCCCCCACACTTATAGGGGCAGCTTATGATTGGAGCTCCAGGCACTGTTCTTGTTGGTATTCAAATGACCACTGCCTAATTTCTCCCCTGGGGAAGGGAGAACCTGGTGGGGGAAAGGGAACCTGGTGGGGGAGGGAGAAACTGGTGGAGGAGGGAGAACCTGGTGGGGGGAGGGAGAAGCTGGTGGGAGAGAAGCTGATAGAGGAGGGAGAACTTGATGGGGGAGGTGGATCTGACAGAGAAGATTGGAGGGGATTTTGTTTCTCGCTGGCTAAGTGGTCCCCCACTCATTGAGGTCTGTGCATTCTACCCATTTACAGATAAGGAAAGAGCCCTCAGCAAGGCTGAGAACAGGACGGGTCCCCAGCAGGCAGGGCCACCTTCACTGCTCCAGGCCCTCAGCAAGGTCGTCCTGAGTGCTTATTGGGCTGAATCTGCCAACTGGGCCAGAAGGAGAATGTCTCCTGGGAGCCAAAACCCAAGAGGGCCCAGGGCCCCGCCAGATGTCAGGAGTAAACAGCAGGAGCTGAGCAGAGGCTGGGAATGAGGCAGGCGATGGAAGGGGTTTCACCCCCCACCCCCTCAGCACGGCTCCTTGGTGCCAGCCTGCCTTTGGGTCCAGCAGCCAGCACGGCCAGGGAAATACCCAGTGCTCTGCTTCCAAGACGGCTGGCCGGGCACAGGCCCGGAGAGGCTGCCCAGCTGTCAGGGGAGGGGCCTCCCTGGTCAGGTCGCACTGCCCACCCAGGGAAGCTCAGGAGGAGCCTTAGGAAACACCTCACAGAGGACGGAGTTTGGCCAGGAAGTCGGGGCTTAAAAAGGGAGGCTGAAGATGAGTTCGGGAACAAGGTGGGCAGCCAGGAGGGCAGGTGACAGGGGCCAGCACACACAGGGTGCCTGTCACACCCACATGCTCACCAGTTCTAACCACCAGGCCTGCCCTGGGCCCTTCCCGGGGAGGAGAGTAAGCCCAGCAACCCCAGCACAGGCCTGAGGGGCAGCAAACTGGCCCAGGACCAACTGGCTTCCCCAAAGGGCGAGCCCCGGCCCACCCCACCAGGTACAGCCTCAACGAAGGCAAGCTGCTCCTCTGGAAATATCCAGTGAGCGAAGTTCCAGGGCCTGGGCCTGAAGGCTCCCCACCAGGAGGGGCTGGAGGCGGCGGTGACGAGGAGGTGCTGAAGCCCCTCCTGAAATCTGCTCTTCTCTCTCCTCCACTGACCTCTGACACCCTCACTGGGGGAATGGTGGGCTGGCGGCTCTCCAGCTCATCCACCCTTCCTCCTCAGCGGCCTCCCTTGCCCAACACTCTTGCACACCCGAGTCGGCCTTGGCCCTTTTTTTTTTTTTTTTTTTTTTTTTTTCTGTCCTCACTGGAGGATAGGTTTACTGATTTGAGAGAGAAAGAGAGGGAGGGAGGGAAAGAGGGAGGGAGAGAAAGAAACACTGATGTGAGAGAAACATCGATCAGTTGCTTCCCATACATGCCCCAACCAAGGATTGAACCCACAACCTAGCTACGTACCCTGACCAAAAATCAAACCTGGAAACTTTCAGTGTATAGGACGACGCTCCAACCAAATGAGCCACCCAGCCGGGGCCCAGTGCCAGTTCTTGCTTGGCCCCTGAGGAGAGTTGGACTCCCCTACACTCAGCCACGATCCACTTTAGAGCTCCCACTTTTCGCAGCCACACACCCTGTAGGTGCTCAAAAAGCACATGTAGCCCTGGCCAATGTGGCTAAGTGGTTAGAGCATCAGCCTGCGCACCAAAGCCTCACAGCTTCGATTCCCCGTCAAGGGTATGTACCTGGGTTGCAGGTTCGATCCCCACCCCTGATTAGGGTGTGACAGGCAACCAATTGATGGTTTCTCTTATATTGATGTTTCTCTCTCTCTCCCTCTTTCCCCCCTCCCTCCCTTGCACTCTCTCTAAAAATCAATGGAAAAAATATCCAGTCTTGCCCTAACTGGTTTGGCTCAGTGAACAGAGTGTGAGCCTTCGGACTCAAGGATCCCAGGTTCGATTCCGGTCAAGGGCATGTACCTTGGTTGCAGGCACATCACCAGTAGGGGGTGTGCAGGAGGCAGCTGTTCAGTGTTTCTAACTATCTCTCTCCCTTCCTCTCTGTAAGAAAAAGTCAAAGTCAATTATATATATATATATATATATATATATATATATATATATATATATATATATATATTTTTAATATTCAGCCTCAATCAATGGGAGACCCCATCAACAAAAGACTACAAGATACACTGTTATACACCATACAATGGAATATTCTGGAGCCCTTCATTTTTAGAGGGGATGCTTTTTACATGAAATGCTTGTCCACGATTTGTCCAACCCATACGATGTACAAGACCAAGAATGAACCTTAACGCAAATTATGGTCTTTGAGTGACTGTGTCAATGCATGTCCATCAACTGTAACAAGTGACCACTCTGGCGGGGGTGTTGACAATGGGGGAGGTTGTGCATGTGTGAGGACAGGGGACATATGAGAAATCTTCTGTACCTTCCCTCAGTTTTGCTATGAACTAAAACTACTCCACAAAAATAAAGTCCTTAGCCAAAACCGGTTTGGCTCAGTGGATATAGCATCCGCCTGCGGACTGAAAGGTCCTAGGTTCGATTCTGGTCAAGGGCATGTACCTTGGTTGTGGGCACATCCCCAGTAGGGGGTGTGCAGGAGGTCAATGTTTCTAGCTCTCTATCCTTTTCCCTTCCTCTCTGTAAAAAAAATTAATAAAATATACTTTTTTAAAAAATAAATAAATAAATAAAGTCCTTAGAAAACAAAGTTTGTTACCTGGCCAGTCGCTCAGTGGTTGAGCCAACCTATGAACCAGGAGGTCACTGCACAGTTTGATTCCCACTCAGGGCACATGCCCGGGTTGCGGGCGCAATCCCCAGTGGGGAGCAGAGAGGTGCATGAGGCAACCCATCATTCTCTGTCATCATTGATGTTTCTCTCTCTCTCCCTCTCCCTTCCTCTCTGAAATCAATAAAAAATATGCAACAAAAACAAAGTTTGTCCATGAAAAAGTCAGGT